ACTTTTTTTAACAAAAACGTTTTGATTTTTTTTATAAAATTTGGAATGTGAGCATTGTAATTTTACCCACAAAATAGTTAACATATTCTACATTCTTTCCCAAGCTGCCCAATTGATTCCTAATTTGCATTTGATGTTTGATGAGTAATTTGAGAATGCATTATCCAATAAAAGTCAACATTGTACTATTATTAGCAGCATAAAAAATTAAAAAGTCAATGTGAATTAATGAGCATTTTCATGTCAGTGCTTTTAAGAAGATTTGTCGTACCTATACAGGGTGAGATGAAGAAACTGCAACGAACTTCAGACTGCTGTCATTTCTAAGCCATTCGTCCGACATCTGTTAAAATGTTTCCAGTGACAGCTCATTATGTTGTTTACAAGTGTACAAAAGCATTTTGGTGAGAATTTTCCAGTTATTCGTGATAGTGACATTTATTTACATTTGGCCGGAAAACTACAAGTTGCCATCGTTAGAGCACTCCCGCATTTAAATGTGAATAAATCTTTTGTGTCTCGTACCATCGCTCGTTACCGTGATACTGGTGCAGCGTAGCCCGACATCAAAGAAGTGAACGGAAGAAAACAGAGTCGCAGTGGCCGAAAATGGTTCGTGAGCTGAACATATCACAATACTCCATTCGGCAAATATTGAAAAATGAGCTCGGGGTAAAGCCATTGAAATTCCAAAAAGTGCCAGAACTTACACCGCAACAGGAAGACAGTGATGAACTGCCGAATTTGGTTTTCTCCCATGAGAAAACATTTGTTGTCCAGCAGTTTGTAAATAAACAAAATGATCGTGTTAACTTGCCAGAGAGGTCAGCTGAAAATGTACACCTTCAGTTGGCTACCAGAACTCAACTCAAGGCTCGTATTAATCGACCATGTCATCAGAATAAATGCCGAATATTATCGCGAAAATATTGTGGAGGGTGTATTAAAGCCTTGGGCACGCAAGCATTTTGGCCGCAGACCTTGGACATTCCAACAGCACACGCTATTCAAGAATGGAATGAGGTTCCTTGCTTCATTTCCAGCGCAGGATGGCCACAAAAATCTCCGGATACCAATCCGTTGTGTCTGGAGTATTTTGGAAAGCAAGGTTGGCACTAAAAAATGCCAAAGTGTCGATCACCTCAAACAAGCGCATCGCCGGGAATGGACCAAAATACCGCAGAGCAACATTCGAGCAGCGTGTGACGGTTTTATTGGCCATAATTCGTGCCAATGGTGACCAATTCGAACAAATCTAAACTTATTCTAACATTTGATGCTATTTCCGACAGTTTTTGCTTTCATTCAATAAAATTAAAAATTATGGCGTTTGACTTTGTTGCAGTTCTTTTTTATCTTACCCTGTATATCCTATATCTCTTCTATTTATCGTGTTATTTGAATAGACCTTGACGTAATGGTCTTCTGCTAGATTATAAGAAGACTTTATGCTTTGGCGGGAAATCCCTTTTATGAGAATCATTCAACCTGCTCTCTCATTAAAACGTTCACCTACGTTTCTACAAAAAAAAAAAAATCGGAAATTTTAATTTTTTTATGAGAAGACTTGTTGGTATTCTGTCAGACGAAAAGATTTTCTGGACTTATTTGAAATGAGCTTCTCTGGCTTTCATATTTTTTTTTTGTCACATGCTCTAGTACCCAATAATACGGAATATAGGGAGGTACCATTATATGGGGACTATATGAAGACGAGTGGAAACAATTCCGGTGAATATTCTATCTAAAACCGTCAAAATGCCGACTACCATTATATGGGGGCTATATGAAGACCTAGACCTGTAAATGCAATTTTCTGTCACAGACTATAGCATCTATTAGGAAAAACAAATACGAAATTTAAAAAAAATGCGGTGAACAATGTCGCAGAGAGCATAAAATGCGGAATATTGATTGGTACAGTTATGTGGGCCTATTACATAGCCCATTTTCATTACCAAATATCCTGCCAAGGACACATCTGAGCAAAATTTTATCAACCTACTTCAGTTCGTTTGGAAACTAGAGTGATTTCCATACACGAAAAGACGGACGGACATAGAATTTGTTGGTGATCAAGAACATACATACTTTATTGGGTTTAAAATGTATATTTCGGGGTGTTACAAACGGAATGATATACTTAATACACCCTCCATATTATGGTGGAGGGTATAAAAAGGAAAACACGTGTATCGGCTTTTTTTAAGTTTATATCGAAAAGTAACCAAAATAGAGGTGGCATTTTCCACCTCTTCCTCACATTTGTAAATTTGTGTATTAAGATTCCGTTTTAGGTATTTTAGGAACAGGGTTGTCCACATTCGACGGACCCATGACTCTTTGGGCCCATTCCAATCGACGAGGCTTGTCCGCAGGCAACATTCTTTGCGTCAATTGAATTTTGTACGGGAAGAAATGCAAATCAATGCGAATAATCCGTTGTAAAGTGGACCGAGCCATGCCCAACTGCTGAGAACGGCGTTTTTGGGATGTTCTTGGGGACCTCTCAACACTGGCTCGTACGGCAGCGATATTCTCGGCCGATCGCCTTGGTCGACTTTTATATGGCCTCTTCGGATTAGAAAGAGCCTTACCAGTCGAAAATTTTTCGTATAAACGCTTAATGGTGTTCTTAGAAGGCGCACTTCTCACCTTTTTTAATGTTTTAAAAGCACGTTGAGTTTTCACAATTGACTTCTTCTGTTGAATGTAAATTTCAACTATTTCAGAGCGCTCGCGTGGCGTGTATTGGTTCATGGTAAAAATCTGCTTGGACTGACGCTTCAAACGCGGTATGTCATTAAGCGATGTGACATCTCTGTCAAAAGTTATGGCGTTGGCAGATGGGTCCGTCGAATATGGACAACCCTGTATATACTATCTTCGCCAATATTACAGACAAAAATATGAGAAACATTTTTTGGTAGAAATTTTTAACTCTCAAGCGATTCAACAAGGGGGTATTTTTGGCGCTTTTTCTAAAATCATGGTTAAAAACTTCTTTTAAGCGGGACCATAGCTAGTCGAAATATTCTACAAAATTATTTGTCATAAAATTATACCATAGGTCCTGGAATACGTGTCTAAATCTTACCTAAATGTCAGGACTTCATATGTATTAACAAGCATAAAAGGTGTTGAATATCCTCCATAATATGGAACGAATTTTGCAATTTTCAAAAAAAAAAAAATAAATAAATAAATAATAAAAAAAAATAAAAAATAGGCAACTTTTGTCATAAGCCAATACAATGTTCAAATGTGAAACTTGAAAAAAAATCGGCGAATAATGTAGCGTAAATCATCAAGGTACCATGGGGGCTATACCAAAACGTGGATCTGCGCAGACACTTTTCTGTCATAGGCTGTAGTATCCATTACGAACTTCAAATACCAAATTTGAAATTATACCGAATATCGGTAGGTACCGTTATATGAGGGCTATACGAAGACGTAGACCTGCACGGACAATTTTTTAGCCATAGGCTGTAGTATCCATTTCGAACTTCAAATACCAAATTTGAAAGAATTCCAGTGTATAATGTCGCTTTAATTACCAAAATACTAAAACGTGGACCTACTTGGCCCATTTTTAATACCAAAAGTCCTGCAGACATAATATACATTTGAGTAAAATTTTATCAACCCACTTCATTTCATTCGGAAGCAAAAGTGATTTCCGCAGACGGATGGATATCGCTAAATCGACATAGAATTTTATGCTGATCAAGAATATATATACTTTGTATAAATCTCCAACAAAGTATAACTTTTTACGTTTCAGAAGGAAATACGTTTATTGTAGGATTCAAAATTAATTTTGACAGGATATAGTCTTATTTAAGGAATATTCCCCACATAGCGGAGAAAATTGTTCCTCTAGATTCCATACAAAATTACCCATTGGACTTCCTATCCCACAGACATTTTTCCACCCACAATTTTTATCGCACATTTCCCCCAAGTTCCCTTATCAGAGTCTTAGATTTTCCCTCAGATTGACGTAAATATTCCCTAAACTCCTTTAAAATTATCTGCCGGAAGTTAAAGAGGCGTTTGGATTAAAAATATTTTCTGTGGACAAGACTCCCATCATTAGGGAAAATTCCCCTAATTGATATTCAAATAGCCGGCAACGAAATGTGTTCGATGTTAATTCCGAACCCGCATGTCAAAGGAATTATTCGGATTATTAATGAGCGCCGTTTTATCTGAAAAAAATACATTTTTGACTTTACCATCACCAACAAAAATAAACAAGTTAAACTGTTTATATTTTATTTTGAAAATTCTGGTTTCTTTTTGCGGGAAATGTGAAAATTTACGTAATTTCTATTTCTGGATGTTTTCAAAATTGTTAACCATGTTGGAAAATGTCACGTACACTTCGGAAAAAGGAGAAGAAAAGGAATTGTGATATGGAATATGGCCCGCCTGTAGCGCCGGTAAATACAAACATATGTGGCGCATGGGAATTTTTCCAATTCATTTACAACTTTCTTTGGAAGAAACGCCATCTGAGTCGAGTGTCCCCTTGTCGCAAAAATGAAAGGATTAACAATAACTAAGTCACCTCAAAGATGACAAACATCAATTGGATTAAAATTGTTGGTAGGCAATGGCACAGGATATAATTCCCCGGGAGAGTGTCATGGCATACTTTATGAGGGGTGTGCGACGGTCATCCTTTCGTTGGTGTGTTTAAAGGTAATCAATAGATTGAAAAATCTAATAAGATCTGTAAAAAGGGATTAACGGAAGATGAGGACGATGTAAATGGGAAAAAAGGTCACTGGGTGGATAATGTCACGGATTTGGGATGTTATAATTTGCATCATTTACCTGGAAAACCGCCAGAGTCGCGGCCACTTTTCGTTGAGCCACAACACAACAGACATCGAAGTACTTCCTGCATATGTTGGCCATGCATGCACACGTTTACCTGGATTTCCATTCGAATTCCAAATTTTAGGTATAAAAACTAACGGAACTTCGTAATTCGGCACACAGTTCATCATCATCTCTCCAAGCATCAACATCTCAAAAGAAAACTAATTTCACTCAACAAAATGGGAAACGTACACGCCGTCAATTGCGTCCTCACCTCCGAAGATGCCAACAACAATTTACCCAATCTCATGAAACGTACTTGCCAACGCATGAGTTTCAAGCGTGGCAGTACCAGCCGCAGTAGTGGCGGCAGCGATAAATCCTCAGCCTCATCCAGTTCATCACCCGTGGCCAAAATCAAAAAATTAGGCAAAAAACGTTTGGTACTCAACACCATGCCTCGTTGTTCGTCCTTTGAAGATCTCTCCACCGCTTTGCCATCATCGAAAAAATCGGATAATGACCCCACCTATTTGTTGTGGAAAAAGGCCTTTGAACAACGTCGTCCTAAACCTGCCGCCGAAATGGAAACGCACATGGCTCGTATGCGTCGTCGGGTGCACAACATGAGCTCAGCTGTCAGTGGACACCTAACACCCAAAGGATTTCCAGCCTTCACCATGAAACGGCAACAGAAAAAGGCCACCAAATCATCGGCGGGAAAAGAAAACTGCCCACCCACTACTCCCCCAGCTGGCGTGGTTGTGAAACAAAAGAAACCCATTGTCAAAATACCTCAACATTTGACCAACAAACTGACCATCAATGGTGCCACTGTGGGCACCATTAGTTTGCCACCAAAAATGAAAATGAAATCCACCACCGCCAGCGTAAAACCCAAATACACCTTGGCTCCCCTCAATCTGCTCTCCCAGCTGCCGCAAAACAAACAGGCCATAATTATTGAGCAACTCTATCGTGACATCAAGGAATTCGAGTCACGCTATGACGATCAAATGGAGTCCTTTATCATGTAAGAGGTGGACTGCCTGAGGTGGTCTATAGCATTGTTGTTTTTGTAAAATTCCGCAAAAACCAAAGAAGAGCTGAGCTACTTATTTTGGAAATTAGAAATGACAACTGTTGGATTTTGAAAAATATTTCTTTGACAAGACAGGTTTTGTCTTACAATTTTTTTAAATAGTTAAATAATTAAATTATTATTGTGATATTTATATTAGTTTAAGTTAATTTAAGTTAAATAATAAAATAAAATTATATTATAAAATAAAATTAAATAATATTGAAATTTATTTATGAGTCTCTTTCTATCTGGATATAATTTCAAAAAAACAAAAAACAACAGGTTAAAAAGTATCCGTCGGTTTTCCCGACAGATGTATACCCCCAGACAATGTTCGATTATTTAAATATATTTGGACTTCTGTTAAGACTATTCAAATTGTTGAACCTCCATGGAGTAGGTTCCGAAGGAATGGGCCAATATAATCCATTTCGTATCAGACCTAAATAAATATGATATAAATATTGCGAAGTGCCTGGTTTGGACAATATCGACTGCACCCATCACTTTATGTGAGATATGTATACATACAGGGTGAGATGAAAAAAACTGCAACCAACTTTAGACTGCTGTGATTTTTCAGCCACTCGGCCGACAGCTGTTAACATTATTCCAGTGACAGCTCATTATATGGTTTACAAGCGTATAAACAATTTTTGGTGACAATTCTCCAGAAAAAAAAGTTATTCGTGATGGAATTCAAGCGTGATAGTGTGATTTATTTATATTTGGCTAGAAAACCACAGGTGGCTACGTTAGAGGACTCCAGTATTTAAAACCGAATAAATCTTTTGTGTCTCGTACCATCGCTCGTTACCGTGATACTTGTAGCGTAGCCCAACTTCAAGGAAGTGGATGGAAGAAAACAGCAACATCAGCAGAAATGGTTCGAAAAGTAGAGAAGCAACTTCATCGAAACCCGCGTCGCAGTGGCCGAAAAATGGCTCGTCAAATATTGAAAAATGAGCTCGGGGTAAAGCCATTGAAATTACAAAAAGTCCAAAAACCTTCACAGCAAGAGAAAGAAAATAGACTCAAAAGAGCTAAAGAGTGGTTTCTCTTGGCCGAAAGTGGTGAACTGCCGAATTTGGTTTTCTCCATCTCCGATGAGAAAACATTCGTTGTCCAGCAGTTCGTAAACAAACAAAATGATCGTGTTTACTTGCCAAAAATGTCGGCTGAAAATGTGCACCTTCGGTTGGCCACCAGACTCAAGCGCCGGCCATGGTGATGGGGTGGACCGCCATAACAGCCCGATAATCGACCGTGGCATCGGAATATATGCCGAATATTATCGCGAAAATATTCTGGAGGTTGTATTAAAGCCTTGGGCACGCAAAAATTTTGGTCGCAGATCTTGGAAATTCCAACAGGACTCTGCATCATCGCTCTCAGCACTCGCCACCCAAGTATGGTTACAAAATGAGGTTCCTCGCTTCATTGCCAGCGCACAATGGCCACCAAATTCTCCGAATGCCAATGTCTGGAGTATTTTGGAAAGCAAGGTTGGCACATACACACATACCAAAGTTTCGATCACCTCAAGCTAGCGCTTTGCAGGGAATGGGCCAAAATCCCGCAGAGCAATTTTCGGGCAGCGTGTGACGGTTTCATTGGTCGTTTGAAGGCCATAATTTGTGCCAAAGGTGACCAATTCAAACAAATCTAAACTTATTCTAAAATCTGATGCTATTTCCGAAATTTTTTGCTTTCATTCAATAAAATTAAAAAAAAAAAAGTAAAAATAGTGGCGTTTCACTTTGGTGCAGTTTTTTTTTTGTCTCACACTGTAACCTCCTCAATCCAAAAAATGTTCAAGATTTCTTCAGTATTTGGCCCCAAGTATCCTCCTAATTTTCTCCTTAAACTAAAAATGTTCAAAATTTATCCAGTATTTGGCCCCATATTACCCTCCTTATTTTTAGGCATTTTGAAGGTTTCTTTTTATTCTATTTTATCCCAACACCCAATGTCAAATTAGTTTAATTTAGTACTTTTCGTACAATTATAGCACATATTTCAATCTCAGATTCCACTATCAAATTTCGGGATTCCATCTTCTATACATTCACCAAATACCACATTTAATAACATTTAGTACAATTTGAGTACACATACTCGAACCCAGCACCTATTGTTCACCAGACGGATGGACTGACGGACGGAAATTGCTACATCGCACCCAATGTTCTGAAATGTATTTCTCCAAAAGGACTTAGGCTCCAAATTCGATAATTTTTATCTGAGGAACAGTTTTGGAAGCATCAAATGATACATAATTTCTGCAGCGATAAGGCTGGACGTAAAAAGATTAGACAGAAGGGGAACATTCAAAGAAAAGTACTTCTAATTACGAGCTCAATTGTTATGCCAGTCGGAGCAGATAAAGTGAATAATTGGCAAAACATTTATTAATCATTGAAATCTTAATTTTATTTTCACCTCCTGGGCACACATACAATCATAAATCTCTCGAACTCAACAACCACTCAAAATGGCCCTTCAAAACATATTTGCCAGTACACATCTCAACAATTTAAAGCACTTAATAAGGGAACATATTCTTGAGTATTCTTCAGGGGGATAATGGTTGAAAGGTTAAGTGCCCAGATGTATGCAAATCAACAAAACGTTTACCGTAAGCAATCTATTCACACACACACACATAGCCTTCGATATTGGAATTCGTAATCAGTGTTCCATGTTTTTCACCATTACACAATCCAACAATGTTAAGGTAGAACTAAGTAATTGAGAATCATTATTAATCATGGAGGGTTATTGGGGTGCGATAGGGTTGACAATGACTTTTCGCATTTAATCTACCATACGATGATGTTCGAATTAAATGCAGGTTAGGTAATTGAGGATATCTTGAGAGCCCGCATGTTAATCATATAGTGTTTGCAAACATTATTGGTTTCTTATGAGCCATCAAAAGTGGATTAAAATCAGAGCAGGTCATTACCGACTTAATCCACGTGACGAAGGTAATGGCATAAAATGTTCACAAAATCTTATTGAAAATAATTTAAAACAAGTAAGCAAAGGCTACAGTCGAGCGGGGCCGACCGTTGAATACCCTACAACACTATAATAAACGATACAGTTTATATAGGCGAAGTACTCGACAGAATTCCACAAGATATTGTGACAAATAATAAAAGAAAACCATCAGGTTTCGTTCTCTAATTTTCGAATAATAGCAACTTAAACTAATTTGCTCATTTCCAATTTATTGGTAGATGTTGCAATTAAATGGTCTTCCTAGATCTGGAACCAATATTTCCCAAAGACCTATAACCTCTCAGAAGTGGCAAAAGATTAACATTTATTAATGGTTTTTGACTGAAACGCATCTATATGAGATACAGACATTTGACTATATTTTTCAACGAAATCAGCGTTAACGAAATAGTCGGAAGTGCGTTTTTCCTGTATTTGTGAATTCTTCAAAAAGTCACTGGAATGGGCATTTTCGTATTTTGTCTATAAAAGTTGGCAAACTCCTTCACACATTGAATATTTTTGGATGGCCATCCGAAATTGCTTGGCTTTTGCAATGTGAGGTAACCCCCATTCAAATAAGCGTGAGGATCGGGCGATAATTACGACCTGGCGACAATTTTGCAGTTTTTTGGTCCATTTCAACCCCGAAATATATGGCGATCATCTCCAAAAAGAGTAGGCTATTCTGACCCTCATCTTATCCCCATGCAAAATTTCGTAAGGATTGGGCCATAAATGAGATCTGTATATGATATCCTGATATCCTATCTACTTAGTTTTGTTAGCTGTAGAAATATTACCAAATGTTTAATTCAAAATGAAAATATGCCAAAAATATGACAAAATTGAAAAAAATATGAGAAAATTTTACAAAATCAATATTTTCATCTTTAGAGAGATATTTTTATGCGATTTTTTCAGACGTTTTTTCTTTCCTGCCAAGAGGCCAGAACTGTCGAAATCAGTTCAGCCGTTCTCGACATATATGAGGTCTTTCAAGCATATCTTCTTTGGTAGACACATATATCGCACATATTTTGCTATATATCCGATTTGCTGGTTCTTAACATCAATGTAAAGATCAGAAGTAACCTTGTCATGGCTTTGTGATTTCGTCGGGATTTAAAATATTCGCGGTTTAATGAAAAATTTTGAATTTCTCAACAAAAAGATATGGTCTATTTTACCCGCTAAATATTATCCGATGACCACCCAAATTGGTAGGCTTCTTCCCCACCCTAAACTCTTGCTACATGCGAATAGTCGATTGGTCTATAATTGCGACCTGTATAGCTACTGCAAAATCCGACATTTTTTCAGTATTTGGTCCATTTCAACCCCTAAACATTTGGCGATCATCTCCAAAAGAAATAGGCTTCTATTCTGACCCTAACCCCACCTTCGTGCAAAATTTCGTTAGGATCGGGCCATAATTGCGACCTGTAGCGTGATTACAAATTAACATGGACAGACGGACGGACGGACATACATAGCTAGATCGACTCAGCTCGGCGAGATAGGAAGATCCATATATACTTTCCTATGTGGGAAACCAATATTCGTGGTGTTACATAATTTTTGGCCCAATCAAACTTATAATACCCCCAACACATAGTGTTGTAGGGTATAAATACAGGATTGATTTTATTATATGGAGGTTATAATAACTTCGTAATTCCGTTTGTAACTCAAATAATAGAAATACATTTTTTAGACCTAACAAAGTATATATTCTTGATCAGCGTAAAATGCTAAGACGATTTAGCGCTATTCGTCCGTCCGTCATTGTTAATCACGCTAGAGTCAAGATGAATTGGGATAGGAAACTAAAATTTTGCACAGATCAGTCATTTGTCTGCAGGCAGGCCAAGTTCGAAGTACCATACAATTGTACCCCCGATATTCGGTATTTTGATGATCTTAGCCACATTTGTCAATCGAAAT